AGGGGAGGGGGGGCAATCAATGTGAGAGAGACACATCGACTGGTTGCCTCCCGCACGTGCCTGGACTGGAGTGGAGATCAAGCCTGCAACTGAGGTATGTGCACCCTTTGGTCAAGACCCTGTGGTCACCAAGTAGACACTCTAACCACTGAGCCAAACCTGCCAGGGCTAGATCCTGTTTATTATAAAAGAGTACCTCTTATAATGTAAAGTACTCAGTTCTTCAGAGATAACTACTGCTGGTTAAATTCCTAATCCATTAGCTGCAGGAAATAAAATTCTTCTGAAATTGAAGTGGCTGGTTTTACTGCAGCTATAATAATTCTTAAGGGTGAGTGGGAAAAGAAAGGTAGGAGTTGTTTCTTTAGATATATATTTAGAATCTGAGGACAGCAAATTGTGTATTTCTTTAAAAACAGCTCTAAGTTATCTAAAGAGAAAAAGGTTGAGAGGGACTGGTTAAAATGTGGGTCTGGAGCCTCATCCCTTGAAGCTATGCAGTATATGAAAGATGGTGTCTTTTAAGTGAACCATCAGCAATTAAATTACTTTACAAAAACAAAAAGCAAAAATAGTTCTAAACAAAAAATCATAATATAGTAGGATTATGTGAAGTTATATACTTGGTAGTATTACAGTTCAACTGTAATGAATTAATTCTATGAAAACATAATACTATATATATGAAAAATATTTGTTTTTTTAAAAACATATATTTACTTCAGAGAGAGGAAACGGGGGGGAGAGGAAGAGATAGAAACATCAATGATGAGAGAGTCATTGATCGGCTACCTAACCCAAAACCCTGATCAGGAACAGAACCCCTATCTCCTGAATCCTAGGTCGATGCTCAACTGCTGAGCCATGCCCGGCCACGCTATAAAAAAATTTTATTTTTACTTCCAACAAATATGAAATCCATCCAAAAGTTAAGTATATTTATTTAACTGTATATTTATTTGGCATTTGCCAACTCATGAAACGTGTAAACTCCTCTGAAAGTTTTGTGTTTCTAAATAAGAGTGTAATGTCTTGCATATAAAAGCTTACTTACCACTCCAGGCAAACAACTTTCCACCTCTGGACTGGGACTGTCACTGTACTGATTACAGTGGTTTCCAGGAGATCCAGCTGAGGAATCAGAAGAACTATCGGGGCTTGAAGGTATATTGGAGCTTATTTGTGTAAGTTTGGCTGTAATTACCTGAAAGTGAAAGTATGTATTAGTAGCAAAGACAAGGGAAAACACTTCCGTAAAATACAGCAATTGGATACTAAGACTAAATCTATTTCATGCTTTAATTTTTGAAACATACTTCAAAGGTACTATTCAACATATACCACTTAGTAGTTTGTTTCCTCCACTATACTACTGTCATGATATCTTTCTTAACCAAGGTCATAACCTGAACACATAACACAGAAGACTGCACACAACAGTTAGATACTCATTAACATTACTGAATCAATAAAAAACAGCCTCTATGTTTAATATTTGGGGAATATTTGAAAGTTATATGTACTTACTGATTTCTCTTTTAAGTTAAATTGTCCAATTAGCTTTCTGTCATCTTCAGAATCTATCAGCTCACCACCCACAAAAAGTTCAATTTTTGTGTGGGCTACATTTGCTTTTATACGATTGAGAATACATCGTCGTACTGAACCAACTGTATCATTTGTATGAGACCATATGTCCAAGTCATCAACCTGCCTACCATGGTTTGGAAATCGAACTATAAGAGAGAGGTGTTTACCTCGAAATGCTCTGAAAATAAATAAATAAATAAATAAATAAATAAATAAATAAATAAATAATAAAATTTAAAGAGCACACAACTTCTGCAGATTGTCAAGAACATAAACATGACGATTTAATATTTTCTTAAGAAAAAGAGATACAATTAAATTGACTTCTACAATAACAGATGTGAGTAATGCATTCACTAAGATTACTTATGAAAGAGATGAATTTCAGCTTCAAAGTATCAATAAATATGAAAAATTCATGTTTCTACTAAAAATTATAAAAATTCTTAAAAACAAAATTCATCTAAAAATATTTATCTTCGTATATTTTCTTTTTACAGTAAGGTAAGATGTAAAATATAAACCATATTCAAGATGCAATTTTACATTTTTAAAGATCACAATTTTAACCTGATAGTACTTATTCTATAAAATTTCCAAAAACTAGAAATGCCATTTAAACTATTATAAAGTAATTCAGTTTGTTAGTTTACTTAATTTATGATCACTTGTATCACACAGAATTTGTTTATAATTTATTACAATAAAATATGATTTAGTAAATTACTTACTTCCTAGTTTCTAAATTGAAAGAAATTTTAGCAAGGAAAATTAACAAATATTCTTTATCACATATTACTGGAAAACTGAATAAGTAGCCTTTTTTTAAGTCTTCACCCAAGGATATGTTTTTATTGATTTTTAGAGAGACAAAAGGGGATATAGAAACACCGATGTAAGAGAAACATCCCTCCTATGTCACCCAACTGTGTATCAAACCCAGAGCCGAGGTATGTGCCCTGACTGGAATTGAACATACAACCTTTTTGGTGTACAAGAGGATCCTCCAACCAACTAAGCCACCTAGCCAGGATAGGATAGGAAGCTTTTTAAAATTCTATTTTTAACAGCATGAATAAATAACATGAAAATAAAATTCATATTAACTGCATATTAGTGCCACACTTTTTTTTTTTTGAAACAGAACAAGCCTTGTAATTGGTTTTGTTACTGAAAAAAAAAAAAAAATTCAGTTTTTAAAAATTTAGCTTTCTGACTCTGTGCTTGTGCCTTTAACACTTTCACAGCAATTTTTTGCTCCTCAATAAGGAAAGCATTTTTGATCCTGTTGAGGACACATTTAGCACACGTATCCTCCATAGGCCCTGATGACATGATTTTTTGGTTTAAATTTATTGATTTATTTTAGAGAGACAGAAGATGGGAGAGAAGGGGAGAAAAAGAAACACTGATTTGTTGTTCTACTTGTTGATTCATTCATTAGTTGATTCTTGTATGTGCCCTGACTGGAGCTTGAACCCACAATCTTAGCATATCAGAGACAACGCTCTCGCCAACTGAGCTACCACGCCATGGCTGACATGTTTGTTTGTTTAAGCAAACTTCATTAGTACTTTATGTCTCAGAACGAACTCTGAGAAGCAGGCCAGGGCACAGGCCACAAGCAGAATTTGGAGCTTTCCGAACCTTGTTGGTATAAAGGTGAACAATTCTGTTACCAGGGATTCAGGCAGCCTAGTTTTGTTTAGAGGTTGTATTTTATGACATCCTCCAACAGTATGTCACACACTAGACCATTCTGAGTGCCTGAAGACACAGTCCACGGAAGAGACCAGTACGCCACACTTAACTGGTGACAAAGCTTGGAATAAAAGAGAAAAAAGAAAAACTATACCTGATAAGTAAGATGCAAATGATATTTTTAAAAGACAGGTCAATGAAGTCCAGGAATAAAAAACATTTTCTTTCAACATGTTTGTAATTACTTTCCTAAATAACTGACTAAGAAAATTAAAAATGCAAGTTAAAATTGGTAGGTCAATTTCTGACAAACCTTGACATAGGTAGAATTGTTCTTTCCTCATGATAATCACTATCACATTCATTTATGTATTCCTTTAAAACAGTTAAAACTCGAACCATTCGAATGGCTTCCTGTCTTGCACATTTAACACTGCCTTTATCACCGTCCAACACACACAATGTATCATATGAGGCTTTCAAGCGATCAAAGCAAGACTGAATGAAGTCTTCATGGATAACCACCTGTAAGTAATAGGCCACATAAAGACAAATCAAGGTGTTTCAAAATTTAAAAATCAAATATATTAATCCAATTAAAGACAGAAAAAATATAAGTTTATAGGGAATTCTCAATCACATTATACTTTAACCAGTAATAAAATGCAAAAAGGACCTAATAATAAAATAAGCAAACATAAACCATTTAGTTTTAAAAACAAAAACAAAACAAAAAATCCTTCTGGACTAAGTGTCAAAGTAAATGAAATTTCTGGCTGTCCCAACACAGTATAATCCTGTCAGTGCCAGCAATTTCTGTGCATCTTTATCAATTACTTAATTAAATCAGTGTTTTCAAACTATGTTATAATCCTAGGGCTTTAAAGATGTTTTAGGGCTGACCCTGTAAGAGGTTTGCAGTGGGAAAAGGAAATAGGGGAGACTGAGGAGAGAAAAGCCAGCTTCTGTTTTTTACGTTAGTTCACATTATATAATTATAACGTCCAAATATAATAATGATATTTATTATATATAAGAAAATAAATAATTCTAACAACCTAAAGATAACTATCAAGACACCATTTACTGAATTAGCATCCTGTAAGGATCAACTGTGGATTAAATACTTACATATTTTTGAGAAGAGTTAAATTAACTCCTAGGTTTTAAATTAATACCAAGTGTAAAAATATTTGATTAAACACAAGATTACTTTCAATATAACTGTAGTGAAAGTTTTTATGCACTTCAGTCCTCACCTGATTGGCCTGTAACCTGGGACCAAGGTTTGTATATATCTCTTTAAGAAGGTCTATAGCTCTGTTGGCAATGTCATCATTACTCTGAATCACCACCTAGACCCAAAAATTACAGGGTAAGTAACATTCAAGATATATTTTAATTTGACAAATTCAAATCATATGCTCAATTATTTTTTAGAATATTCAAGAATTTAAGGCAAAATTGATTCTGACACTCTAATCAAGTAAGTTAAATTAATCTGAAAATGAAGAATTAATGGATATAAAACACAAGTTTTCAGAATAATCTGCTTAAAAATGAAAAGGATAAGATATACTGTAAACAGTATTATTTGACTCTGCAATTTAGTAGCCAAGCTGTGATGTTTTCAAGGAATAATTCAAATAAGCTAAAAATTTATATTAAAAGCCATATAACAGAAAGAGCAATCCAGTCAGCACCAAGAATTCTGCCCGTCTTTATCAATTATCTACTTAAATCAGTGTTTCTGAAACTTTAAAGATTTAGGGCTTTAAAGATTTTTCATGGTTGACTCAGAGATCTGGGGAGAAAAAGAAAGGGAATAGGGGAGATAAAGCAGAGAAAAGCAGGCTTTCATTTCTTATGTCAACTAGTATGATATGATTATTTATAGGGGTCAATGCTGCTTAAAAATGTTTAAAAACCACTAATAAAAGACCACAATAAAATCTATAGTAGGCAAACAAAGTAAAAACTCTACATCCAAAATACAATGTAAGCTGAAATATATAGATTGGATTTTAAAAGATGACATTAAGATTTATTTACTATCAAAATGAAAATATTAGTCTTAAATAGAATATAGCATTTTACTCACCAGGTATTTAAGTATGTTACAAAGTGTCATTAAAGGCATTAACTCCTCTTGTATCATTTATTTTGGCATTAAATGTACCATAAACCCCAACATCTAATTTATAAGTTGGAGAGACAATAATATCTAGGTAGACAATGGTTTGTGTACTTGTATATTTCTAAAAAGATTCTAAGTAAGGAAATGGAAACAATAGGAAGCTAGAGAGAAATAATTATTCCCTCTAGATTTCTAGGACAAGCATCAGAGCAGGATAAATACATACAACTTATAGGTAACATGATTTCTATTTTTTTAAAACCACCTCAAATACAATGCTTGCAAACAAGAGTTTCTAGTTCTTACTTACCCTCCAAAGGTAGTCTAATCCTATGAGTTCCAAATCATCCATCATATAGGCTCTTCTTTTTGCTACTAGTTTCCCTTCTCGACAATTAACAGCTTTGAAGAATCGTTCAAAACATTTCATTCCATTTTCAGTTAAGAGGGAAGGATCAAGTTGAAGCACATTATTTTCATAGAAGTCCTTATTAATATCAGGATCTAAGTCTGGTTCATCCCCCATTAGCTTGGAATACCATTTAAAACAGGCTTCACGATCACAAAGGTAAACTGCATTCTCTGCTAAGCATTTCCATATTTGTTTTGCCTGAGGAGCACAGAGCCACAGTTGGCCATCCTTCAGTAAAAATCTTGAAAAATTTAAGAAATTGGTAATTAGGTCTATATAATATTATTCTCAAACACAATTTATTTTGATATGTCTAAAATAATACATTTATCACAATTACAGTAAAAAAGGTATTCCTTCAAAAGAACTTCTTACCCATATATCTAGAAGTAAAAAAAAATCAGGTTATTAATTTGTTGAACAAGCATATATTTATATGGCAATTACAAAGTGCCTGCAATTTTGTTAGTTGACTTGATATACATATAAAAGTTCTTCCCTTGCTCTCAAGTTCAGCCTTTGAAACCAGATACTCATTTAGTTCCCTGCTTATATACGGTTTCACTGAAAGATAAGGTATTATACTAAAGATGACTTTCAGAGATAACTCAATGTTGTTACAAAATAAAGGTGTTTAAAAATGTTAAGTTTCTGAAAATATGATACTCAATACCTTATGCCACAATAAGCACAAAATTTAAACTTAAGTCATCATTAGTATGCTTATAATATTTAAAAATGTCTTCTAGGGCTTTTTGTGTGACTTAGTTTGTACATTAGTAGCCAATATAATACTATATTGAAGTAGATGATTCTGCTTCAAGCTGTCTCCTCAGTTAAGATTTTAGTTTCTTCTAATACTTCACCACCTACTCTGTCTGTAATTTCTATGAATGACAGTGAAAGAAAACAAGCTAGTATTAAATAATAATTATGTATTTAATCCTTAGTTAACAAAATGATGGTGGCTTCATGTCCAATAGGTATAGTGTACTTATTTAATGCCAGTGGGTTTCTTATTTTGGGTCTTAACTGTAGTAGTACTCTAATACTCCCATAATTTAGGTCCTAATTGTAGGCCTCCAATATCTCCATAATTCTAAGTATGCAGGTTTTTTCTAGCTCTTAATCTTATTTAATCTTCGCTATCTTTATTTATAAATGAGCAATATGTGGCCCAGAACACTAAAATCAGTAATTTTCAAACTAAGGCTCTATAAGTCTGAAAAATCACTGCTGTCAGAGACTTTTATTTCTAACATAAATTCCATTTGAATTTTTAAAGAAAGTTAAAGCTTAGCTAGTGCTTAATAATCAACACACAGAAAATGTTACATTAACTTTTGGCAATAGCACTTATTTGAGAAAATATTTGGCTGCAGAGTGCAATGGCCATCTGAAAGACTTAGCTATTAAAAAAAGAAAAAGAAAAAAGACTTAGCTATGAAGAATATTAACACTGCATTCCTTACGTGTGCCTTAAAAGAGAACAGCGCTACTAATTGTTTAAAACCAACCTAAGGAAGTTAAGCCGTTCTTGGACTTCTTGAACATGACTGTATCTACTTCCAAGCCTTACAGTTTGTGGGTCATAGTCTTCATGGTCTGTAAATTTAAAAAAGCAATGCATTATGCACATGTGTATAAACATCACTGTTGACTTTAAACAAGGAAATTAAGTCAATAATCATTAATAGTCAGCCTGTAATAATGGTATTTACATATATGCTATTTCCCCCACAAAAATAAACTCACTTTTTACATAAAGGAAAATATGACTGAATGTGGTATTAAAAATAATTTTTCAGCATAAACCCCTTTCATTTTTCAGATATATTAAAGCAATTTGTGACTACAGTCTATGACCTTTTCCCTACATTTTTTTCTTTTGTTATAGTAGAACCTATCATTGTATGGAAAAGTACTTTAGTGTACAAAATACCATTAAGAAAATTCATAAAAATTAGGGTGACAGAGCTGTTATTGCATATGATGAAGTTATCTCACAATCACCCCTCAATCACCATACTATGAATGTCTCAGGTATTTTAAAAAACCTACCTTTCCATTATGATTATGAATATAGGTGTAGGTAAGCAGTTCTAGCCGAGGTTGCAAATCCTTTATTAGATTTTTTTAACCCTCACTGGAAGATACATTTTATTTTGTGTTTTTAAAGACTTTTAATTGATTTTTTAGAGATAGAAGATGGGAGAAAAGAAAAGAGAAACACTGACATTAGTGAAATATCAATTGGTTGCCTCCACAAGTTCCCGGACCTGCAACCCAGGCATGTGCCCCAATGAGAGTGGGAATCAAACTGGAAAAAACCTCGGTGCATGGGATGACACCCAATCAACTGAGCCACACAGGCCAGGGCCCAAGGATATGTTCTTATTGATTTTTTTTTTTTAGACAGAGGGAGGTGGGGAAGGAGGGAGGGAAACAGAGAGAGAGATTAGTTGCCTCCTGTACTCACCCTGATCAGAGATCGAGGATCAAACCTGCAGCCTAGGTATGTGCCCTGATTAGGAATAGAACCTTCAGCCTTTTGGTATACGGCATAATGTTCCACCAGAGAGTCACTGGCCAGGGTTGGATATCCTTTATTCTTCAAATATATTAATGAGTACTTTGGATTTACTTCATTAACATCATATGCTGAGTGGAAAATTCTCAGTTTGTCAATTAAAAAGCAAAGAAAAAAATTAACAGCACCTGTTGTCATAAAAATACTATTTATTGTGTTTTGTCAGTGTGTGATATGCTTCCTTCAAAAGGAATAAAGAATTCAACTAAAATATGGGTTTACAACATAAAAAACTTGGCTTAAAAATTCTCATAAGTTTGTTCATCTCAACATTAAGCAAAATTAAAGTGACGAGAATTAGAAAAACTGGATAAAGTCCTCTGCCTGCAAATGACAAAACTGGTTTGAGTAAAACAGAAGACAGTGAAAATAAAGGACTGCTTTTCCTTTAAAATTAAAAGTGTGTCAGCCACTCAAGAATCCAACACATTACAAAATTCTGAAGTTGTAATTTAGATATTACATAATTCCTCTTCAGTATTTCTCAGTTATAACAGTTCCTTTCTAAACTTGTAAAGGCAGTCCAAGTATTGAAAACTGCAAGATTTTTTCCTATCAGAAACACTTCAATTATAAGTAAAATATTGACTTGCTATAAAGATGGAACATATAAAATGTTTAGCAATGTAGCCACCTGAGCATAGATTTGGTAAAGAATATTATGACTGCCCTGGCCAGCTAGCTCACTTGGTTAGAGCATGTCCAATGCACCAAGACTGCGGGTTAAATCCCAGTGAGGGCACATACAAGAATCAACCAATAAATGCATAAATAAGTGGAACAACAAATCGATGTTTCTCTCTCTCTAAAAGAAATAAATAATAATAAAAAATATGACTGCTTTGTACTTCCACATGTGGAGCATCTGCCAGAAATCTTAAAATTGTATTGCTTAATTTCACTGAAATTAATTGTACCAAACCTGAGGGCTCCAAAATTGTAGAAAATTATTTTCTATTACATACAAGTTTTCTGTTTTTTTCAGAGTACATACATTGAAACATGTGACTAAACTTTGGCCTACCACTTTAGCTGTTCTTTGTCTCTTAAAAAGTCTATTATCTAAAAACCTGTTTGTGTGTGTGCTTACTAGGGAAGATTTATTTTTGGAGTTGGGGGAGGAAAATGGGAAGATGAGCGAACATGGTGTAACATTGTTTCCTGATAAAATTTCAAACTTATAAACAAAGTGCGAATAACATATGAAACTATTCTTTATAGAGATAAACCAATTATTTTTCCCATATGTTTTTATCAGTATGTTTCTCTTTTTTTCTGAACCCTTACCCGAGTATATTTTTTTCCACTGCTTTTCAGAGAGAGTTGGAGGGGAAAGAGGGAAACATCAATGTGAGAGAAACACATTAACTGGCTGCCTCCTACACACGCCCCAACTATGGGCAGGGAGCAACCCTGTAACCCAAGTATATGCCCTTCAGTCCTTGGGCAAGTGCTCTAACCACTGAGCCAAACTGGCTAGGGCAGTATGTCTATTTATACACTCTTTTATCACTTTTGTGAGCCATTTGACAATAAATACATTGTCACTCTACTCCTTAAAACTAAGTTTATTTCCTAATAGCAAGGATATAATTATGTGTAAAGGTTAATACTATTATCTGATTAAGCCACAGTTTATATACAAATCTTAAGTGTCCCATTAATGTCATTTATAGTTTCCTTTTTCCAAGTCCAGAATCAAATCTAGACTCACAAATTGCATGTAGTTGTTTTCTTCAACCTAGATTCCTTAATTGTTCTTTTGTTTTTCTTATCATTACCCTTTAGGAGTAAGTCTTTTTGCTTAATGACACTCAGTTTGGGTCTGTTTCTTGTTTCTTCTAGTTAAATTCATGTTATGCATTTTGGGTAAGAAATACCACAAAAGATACTATATCTTTTTCATATATTATTATGGGAAGCCATGAAAGCAGTTTGTCCCAATATTAATGTTAATTTAGGTCATTTTGCAATTAATAATTTATGGATGGTATATCAGTATTCTGGTCCTCACTGTTTCTCTCACTCACTAGTTTAATTATCCGTATCTTTCCTACATTTTCAGTTGATATTCTTCTCCATTTTTTCACTTATACCTATTTCTATGGACTCAAGGGCTCATACTGAAAAAGTTATGATGCATAGTATTATTTAGATGTCTAAACTCACAGATTCAGAGTTGACTCATATCTTTTTAATATGGTTTTCTAAAAACAACTTTTTTTACTTTCTGAAAAAATAATGTTCAAGTTTCACCTTGTACTTTCTTGGCATAGGTACAGAAATATTAGTCATTTCTCTAAAGCCATAAGCTTAGTAAAATTAGTAATATCAATTAAGACATTTTTAAAATTACAAGCACCCACAAATATTTAATAGTACTTCATGGCTGACACGTGGAAATTATGTAGAACTACTAAGTGAATAAAATTCAGGATGTGCATTCATACCACTGATGTTGAATGACACTTATAAACCTTTATTTGTTGTGGTTGGCAAGTTGTACTGAAAATAGTCAAGTATCACAATGAAACCAAAGAGAACGGGTGAAGTAACACAAAGGTAACACATAAAACTCAGTAAGTGCAAATTAGTACAAAAGGTCGCCTTCTAATTAACTAAAATGTATTTTTTTTTTTTGCTAATCCTCACCCTAGGATATTTTTTCCATTGCTTTTCAGAGAGAGTGGAAGGGAGGGAGAAAGGGACGGGAAGAGAGAAAGAGAAACATCGATGTGAAAGAGACACGTCAATTGGTTGCCCCTGGCACTCACCCCAAGCAGGGAGTGGACCTGCAACCCAGGTACATGCCCTTGACTGGGAATCAAACTCCCAACCATTCGGTGTAAGGGCTGTTGCTCTAACCACTGGGAAAGACTGCCTAGGGCTAAACTAGGGCATTTTATTATTCTCTGTTGATGAGCACTCTAAGGCGTTAAACAAAAAACAGGATTCAGGAAGCTGTGCATAAATTCACTAAGAAGGAATCAATAAAATTCACTTTTCCAAGTGGAAAAGTTGGAAAGAATTTTAATAAGTTACTTTATTATCTAAGATACTAGGAAAGCAGAGGTAAAATTAGCTGACCATCATTTTTTCGAAACCAACTATAACTAGTAGAAGTGGAGTATAGTCGTAACAAATGCATACTACTGATAAAATAAAACTGAGAGTACCTCAGTAAACTGCAGAAACCTGATATTATCTTTTTATATATTTTGTCATATGCTTCAGGAGATCCATGCAATATGCTTCTTATAGAGATGTTCACAATAGTTTGTGTTGGTATTAGCTTTTCTTAATATTAGTAATTTAATCTTAAAAGTGTTGGTAGGAAAGTTTATTTTATTCCTATACTTAAAAGTCAATTGATTTAGCACATTTAGTCAGAAATTGAAAATGTAAAAGAGGAAAAGGTTAAGGGAAAGAGATGCTATGAAATCAATGAATTTAGAGGAACTTATTAATACAACAAAAATTCAAGGGCAGTGAGGTCTTTAATTACTGACAATGACATTAAAAACAGATGAAATTACATAAAAAAGAAGTAAATAAAAAGTATCACTGGGGTGAAATATCTAGCTGACTTAACTTTGGGGAATGTCTTAACTAGTATGTAAGAGGGGTATTTACCAACAAGAAAGTTTGAGTCATAAAATACAATGACTACATACAAAATTCTAGCTATGTTAATGATTTTGGCCACTCCTGCTAGAGAAAATAAATCACAAAGTTTCACACCTATGGTGCCTTCCCTGTTTTACTTTTCTACTAAAAAGAAATCTTTGAACCTAACAGGCAGAACTCAGATGGAATCAACTGTTACCCTTGATGCTTGACATAGATTTCTTAGTCCAAAGAGCAGAGTGGACTGAATGAGTAAAATGTGAGAGAAGCAGGAAGTCATTTTAATCATTAAGGGTACTAAGGAGTTGCTTATTTTTCCATTATGTTTATGTAACTTGTATATGAATAATACGTATTAGCAAAATTTGGGGGAGTTTTACATGCAATTTATTACTTGACCACACCATACCACAATCACTGAAGGTGCAAGCACACATAGTCTACTATTCTAGTCAGATAATGAATATTACAAATGTCCACATTTTAAACACGAATGAGTTGATTCTACTCATCCTAATGTAGCATGAAAAATGAGCAGTATTTTCAGTTCATCATTATGCTCAATCCTGACTTCAACACGGGACAACAGAAGTTTCTCTTTTCCATACTCAAATATACAAAACTGGGAGTACAGGTAACCAGATTTTTGTTTCGCTTGTGCTATGATTTTGGTGCAATATAGAGGAGTTACAGATACACAAGGAATACTTTATGCTCAAGCACACAGATTTCTGATAGAAGTGTCAAAGAATAACAATAAAATTGATCTTTAAAGCACCAAGAAGAGAGTCCCTTGTATTGCAAATACTAAAAACTTTTCTGTTAAAACTTCAGGGAGCTTTATCCCACTATGTTAAAATAATTTCATACTCTGGGAACCACTGAGGACAAATGGTGATAACTATATAGTAAATTTTAAATAATTCTTTGAACAGGAAACATTAACTCAGAGTTATTAAAAGTAACTGTAATGTATTCAAAAACAGAGTTGGGAAAATGAACAACTTGGAAATTTTAACCAAGTTTTCTTTAAAAGCAATTAACAGTAGTGTCAGTAAAAAATGGACTTAAAATGAGTCAGTTACATACCCAAGAGAGTAGCAGCTGTAGGCATAAACACATAGAGTTCCATATACAAAAGAAAAGAAACCAATTTAACAGGATGAGAAGGGACATAAGCACTCAGTAAAAGTCCTTGAAAAGCTAGCTTAGAGTTTAGGTCAGATACGATTGGGAGGAACAAGTAAATCCATAAGTGAATATACTTTTCAAACAATTCTCTTCTACCTTTTGTACTTTAAAAATATATTGATATCACAAAGGAGGAAAGAGCATACAATGGAGTAAAGATAGTCTCTTTAATAAATGGTGTTGGGAAAATTGGACAGGCACATGCAAAAAAATGAAACTAGACTACCAACTTACCCCATACACAAAAATAAACTCAAAATGGATAAAAGACTTAAATGTAAGACATGAAACTATAAAAATTCTAGAAGAAAACACAGGCAGCAAAATCTCAGACCTCTCTTGTAGCAATGTTTGCCAACAAATCTCCGAGGACAACAGAAACAAAGGAGAAAATAAACAAATGGGACCACATAAAAATAAAAAGCTTCTGCAAAGCAAACAAAACCATCAACATAATGAAAAAGAAGTCCATTTATTGGGAGAACATATTTGCCAATGACATATGTGAGAAAGGGTTAATATCCAAAATATATAAGAAACTCATACAACTTAACAAAAGGAAGACAAACAATCCAATTAAAAAATGGGCAAAGGATCTAAACAGATACTTCTCCAGATGACCAAGAGGAATGAAAAGATGCTCAACCTCACTAATCATCAGAAATATGCAAATTAAAACTGCAATGAGATATCACTTCATACCTGTCAGAATGCCTACCATCAACAAATTAACAAATGACAAGTGCTGGCAACTTTGTGGAGAAAGGGGAATCCTGGTACACTGCTGATGGGAATGCAGATTGGTGCAGCCACTATGGAAAATAGTACAGAGTTTCCTCAAAAAATTAAAAATGGAAATGCCATTTGACCCAGTGATCCCACTTCTAGGAATATATCCTAAGAACCCTGAAACTAAATCAGAAAGAATATGTGCACCCTATGTTCACAGGAGCACAACTGACAATAGGTAATATCTGGAAACAGCCCAAGTGCCCATCAGTAGATGAGTGGATAAAAAGCTGTGGTATATTTACACCATGGGATTCTATGCAGCTGTAATAAAGAAGGATCTCTCACCCTTTGGAACAGCGTGGATGGGACTGGAGAGTATTATGATAAGCAAAATAAGCCAGTATGGAAAGATAAGTTTCACATGATCTCACTCATATGTGGAATATAATGGACAAAATAAACTGATGAATAAAAGAGATCCAGAAAAACAGAAGCATGGAGCAGACTGAGGAATCTCAGAACGAAGGCATGGGTGGGTGGGAAGAGATTAATCAAAGAGCATTTATATGCACAAATGCATAACCCATGGACATAGACAATAGTAGGGGAAGGACTGGGAATGGAGGATATGTGGGGTGGAGAAGATCAATGAGGGGAAGAAAGGGAACATCTGTAATACTTTCAACAATAAAGATATATATATCATAACTATATGTATATACAGTCATCAGATGGGAGGGAGATGGTGGGGTGTGAAGAGATTAACCAAAGAAAATATATGCATATATGCATAGCCCATGGACAAGACAACAACAATGTGGGAAAGGCCTGGGTTGGGGTGAGGCAGGGTGGAGGGGGCAAAGGGAGGGAAAATAGAGGGTATCTGTAACACTGTCAACAATAAATAAAATAAATATATATTGTCATCTCTGAGATAATTTCATAAGGACAGAACAAAAAATGAGAGAAGGGAAGGCCATGTGATTCCCAGTAATTAATGCTAGTTTATAATACATACCTCCAGCATATAGTCGCATGCTATTCATATAAGTTGCAAGGTTTTCTGCTACCAAAGTAACTAAGGAATGATTATGCTGAAGTTGACTGATTAAATCATGACGGTAGAATACATGGGGACTTCGCTGAGTCTGACTAAAACGAGAAGAACTTAACAGTATAATTAGGCAAATGAACACTACTGTAACAAGTTCTGGTTGCAAATCAACTATACTGTTAACTAAGAGTTTATAGAGACTAAAATTCTAACTACTACTTTGAAAGTAATAAAATGTCTTACATTCATAGTAAAATGAGGACGATATCCTTCTTTTAATAACAAAATATCAAGCAATTTGAAGAGCATAACCAATGCCACAAAATATATTTATTCCAATATTATTTTAAACAAACACCACCTACCCGTATTCTCCATTTGAAGTTTACATGATAAAAAATGTTAGCCATTATAGGTTCACTCTGGAACACTGAGTTTGCAGCCTCTTATGGCCATGAATATCACCAGAAAGATACCTAGCTACATGCTATTTTATTATTTTAAAAGAAACTAATCAACTCACAATATTAAACTGGTGAGCAAATCTTCTGACTGGAAGAGTATATGTAGTATTGCATATATAAGCAACCAAAAAAGGGGGACATCTGGCATGCATGTAAGTCAAACATAATCAAAGAATGTCTTTCACAAATAAATAACATTAAAAGATTATTTCAGGATTTTCTCTAATATTTATCTGCATGAAATGTCTTAATTCCATGTAATTTTTCAAGCAGTAGAAAAAAGTATCAAAATTCAACTTGAAAAATAAAAACATAAAAATGACATTATATAATTCTTTTTAAACAGGAATTGTTTACATTCATAATCATATCAATTTACATTTGCAAAGGATCTTGTAATTGTCTTACACACAAGAAAAAATATTTCCAAAAGGTCAAAGGGTCTCAGTTTACAGCTAATTAGACTGAACTGGGGGTTCACTACCAGAAATCTTAACTGTGTTGAGAATAATTATTGCCACTATACCTTGCTTTCTGTTATTTTTCTCTTCATGCCACTAATTACAAATACACTCCCAAATTAAAAAAGACAAATTATTGCAATAACCATAACTTAGTCAAACATAAAATTCACTACTTAAGCTAATTTAAAAAATTAGCTATTTAAGTCTAGCTAAAATAAATTAAGAGTAAAAAACATGTGTAAACAAAGTCTTGTCATTTTTCATAATTAAATTGCTTGTCTTATCTTTGAAAATTAACCTAAATTCAAGGTTACCTTCCCTCCCCCTCTGGAAATTACTATGTCCTAGTATGAAATCTAAGTTAATAAAATATGTTGAGAAATGTTAGAACAATTAAGTAACTAATATATAACATATTATCATATGGAATTAAGAATGAATACTGGACCAAAGAAAACAGTAGAAAAGATGTAAAAAGGGGGGAGGGGAAGATAAATACAACTCATGCCACAACGATGTCTGGATCTATGCTAGAAATTCAGGACAATTCTGAAGTAAGAGCCCAAGGCAATCTTGGTTCTGATACTTCTGTGTCACAAATATACAAGAGAGAAACACAATCAAGAAGTCATATTTGTTTCAAACAAACTAAGTTTCCTGTTTTCCCACTTTTGTTTTCTTTTTTAAAATTTACTTTTTTTGATATGCTGTTCTCAACATAATATATAAATTAAAATTAGGAACTTTTCTATATTAAAAGCCTTACCTCAAGTTTTGAGGTGCTTCACCAAATAAACTACAAATTTCTCTTATTTGTTTCAGTGCAGGAATTACCCATTTATCATTTGTACGGAGTTCTTCTATAAAGCGATCTATCCACTGGATCTTTTGTGTGTCTCGATCCTTGCACACACATACAAAAAAATTTGTTTACATAAACATGGATATAGTTGTACTTTGAATTATTTGAGAATTAGAATACAAAAGCTTAAGATGACATCACAAAAATTATGTAATTGTAACAGTTGAATAAAACAAAATGCTTTAAATATATCCTTAACTTGAAATAATCATCAAACTCCAAAAGCACCACCATAAAAATTCAGTGTTTCATGGATTCAGATATATCTGTACTAAGACTTAAAACCCAACTTTAGGCACAGTCACAGAAAATGTTTTTAAAATATGCTTAAACATGGGTATTCAGTGTTCATAAGTTTTCCCTATTATGAAACTTAGAAAAATATACAATCCCAAGTATTACTGGGTGTGATGTCTTATTTCTAAAAAGAGCAAGCAACATCAACAATTTATATTTCATCAAAAAAAAAATAACAATATAGCCTTGGCAGATGTGGCTCCATGGTCAGATCATCGGCCTGAGCACTGAAGGATTATGGGTTCCATTCCCAGTCAAGGGCAGGTACCTGGGTTGCAGGTTGGATCTCCTCTCCCAGTTGTGGGAGGCAACCAATCTATGTGTCTCTGTCACATCAATGTTTCTCCATCCTCCCTTTCTACCTCCATTCCTTACACTGTCAATGGAAAAAATATTCTTAAGTGAGAATTAACAAAAATACAATATAATTCTGTAGGTTTTAAAAAAAATTACTAAAATAAAAATAAAAACAAATCAATATATAGTGAATGTTAAAGAAAATGGGAGCAACTATTCATCTAAAGAAAAAGAATGTTGAAGTCTGTTATAAGGATAATATTCTGCCATGGCTTACTTGCTTCAGTCTTTTTATTTAAGATCACTAGTAATGAGAAGTTCAGGTTTGAGTACATAATGCATATTTCTGTGCATTTACAGGGAAGAAAAAACCATTCTGTATATATCTTTAAGGTCTCATTTGGAGGAATATTTTCTAGTCTGTAAATATCATGCTGTTCTCATATCACTTTCTAGGAAAAGATTATGACTGTGAAATTACTGGTCTGATTTCTGTTCATATCATTAATACAAAAATATTTATACATGAATATTAAATGTCAATAACTCTTAAAAGCAGTTTGTGTTGGAGTGCAAGATATATTTACAAGTTTTTGATAATTGTAACAGATGAAGGCTGAAGTTCAAAAAGAAAAACTCTTTTACTAAATTTCATGAAATCCAGTAACTATTAAAGTGGCAATGTATAAAACACTGTACCATGCAATTATACGAATAACTAATTAAAGAAGAAAGTAACAGTTGAGAATCTAAGCAAGTGTACTGCTCTGATTCTCTGTAACACTTCTCTATTTAATAAAATAGAATTTAAAATCAAAGTTTATATACCACTTGAGATGCTGAATACTGAACAGTGAAAACTAAGTACAGTATAACATTGGCAACTAAGCTTAGTTGTTTTTTTACTGAACATTTAAAATTATACCTATATAGTTTCAAAACCTGAGAGCATCTTTTCACCTCACTTGACAATATTAAAAGTCAAGCAGATGCCTGTCCTACACAGTCTTTTTCTTTTTTAAAGAAAATATATCATCTTTAATTTCTTTAACCTATTAGGATGAAAAACCACTGCTGATAAAAAAAAAGAAACAGATCCAAAAATATAAGTAAAATTTAGTATAAAATTCATACTTAAAATCAGTAAACACAAGTGACTTAAGGTAAACGCAGGGAAGTCGCTGTTATTTGCTCAGAAAGACACCACTGTTTAGAAAATCCTGTTAATTTCATTAACTTCTTGAACAAAAAAATCTTATTACCCTCCTAGTTAGGCATATACCATATTACTACTATAACAAATTGTTTATACAAATCCTTTTATATAATAAATGATACAAAGATTTTCTGGAAAAAAGTAAGAAGAAACCAAGCTTATACAACAAATGTAACCAATTCTTCAAAACTACTTAAAAAAAAAAAAAGAATTATCCTATAATTAAGCCATTCTAATTGTGAAGGAAAAAGAAAAAATGGGCAAATAAGTACTCCCATACCTGGGAACAACTATAATCTAGTATTTTTATGTGGGCACTGAGGGCTAGGTCCATGATGTCTACAGGTACATCGTCACTCTGGGCAAGATTCCAAAGAAGGTTCAACACTTTGTGTGCCATCACACCATCTTTATCGTCTTCTGCAAGACGACGTATCAGCTCAAGCAGCTTTTCACGTTGTTTTTTACTTGCATTTGTCCAACTTGCCTAGAAAATATATTTAAATTATGTAAATATCACAATATATGCATGTATTCATAATTGGTCATCAAGGATTTAAATATATGACTTTGAATAAACTACATTTAATTCTTCCCAACCACACACACAAACCATAACTGAGCACTTAATAACTCAAGTCTTACTTATAACTTAAACTCTATCACTACTGACTTAAAAACTGCAGAATAAAATGATAATAAACATATGTTAAATGATAAAAAATATGTTAAGAACCCCTGAAACAACAAAAAATACAACACAATTCATAAAAGGACACAAAGGTTGAAGAAACATTTTTACAAATATACAGAAATGGTGCATAAGCTCATGAAAAAATGTTCAACATTACTGGCCATTAAGGAAAAAATTGCATATCAAAACTACAGTAAGAGGCTTGAACAAGATGACAGTGTAGGTAACTGCGGTACCTGCTGCCTCCCACAACCACATCAAAATTACAACTAAAATACACAACCACCATCACTCAGAACCTCCTGAAATCTAGCTGAACAGAAGTCCTACAACCAGGGAAATAAAGAAGCAAGGAGACCAGTAGGAGGGGCAGAGACTCAGGCAGCTAGGGGCTGAATCCTGGAGATGTGGCCAAGGTAGCACACCCGGTGCCTCACAGTAAAACCGGGAGGGATATCTCGGTGGTGAAGGTTTCCTGGAGGAGTGAGGGGTCCAAGCCCCACAATGGGCCCTTAGACCAGGATTCCAGGGTCAGGAAGAGAAGTCCTCACAACTTCAGGCTGTGAAAACCAGCAGGGAATGTCGCTGAGGAACACTGAGGCTGTCTGAGTCCCAGGCAGCTCCTCTTAAAGGACTGGCACACAGACTCACTCAGACGTGCTCCCTCTGAGCTCCAGGGCTGGGTACCAGCTTGAAAGAAACCTGGGACACTCAGGAAGGAACTAACTTGCCTGAAATTAGGGTGAAGGTGAAGGGGCAGCTTTTTCCCAAACAGAAGAGCTAGCAGAGGCCACTGATCCTTTGATGAGCCCTTCCCACATACAGCTGGCAGGCAGGCGCCATGTTTGAATCTCTAGCACCTGACTCACACCTTTGGCCCCGCCCTGGTGATTCCTGGAGACCCTACCCCTCTCTATTTGCAAGCTCATCCAAGCCATTTCCAGTGGCTTTTCTATGCAAGTAGCCTCTTGAAACTCATTTCTAGGACTGTCCTAAAATCTCTCAAACAAGCAGCAGGGTGCCCCATATGGCCTGATAAGTGGCCCCAGGCCTGGCACTAGTGGTAGCCTGCACTGGTTCATAGCTTGGCCTCTCCTGGGTACCTTCAAGCTCAACACAAGTATCAGCTAACTACGGTCTGCTATGTAGCTCATGCTGGGTGGCCCTGGGAAAGGCTCAGGCAGAGGCTGACTTTGCACCTCCAGGGAGGCCCCAGAGACAGTGCACTTGGTGGCCAGACTCGAGTGCACTGGATTACAGCCCTACCACATCCACGAGTGACACACTCAAAGGGTGCACTTGGTGAATACCAAAGCTCCACTGAAGTAAATCCTGCTCAATAGCGGTGTCTCCAGCACAGCAGCTCTTTGGCTGTAGTTGCAGCTGGTCCTCACAGCTAATTGGCCTGGGGGTCAATTCCTCCCAGTGATGCCAACAGCAACCAAGGCTCAACTACAAGAGTACAATGCACACAGCCCACACAAGGGAGGACCTACAGTCCAGGCTCAGGTGACTGGGGAGGCTGATCCACTGCACCCTACAGGACTCCTACTACACAAAGCCACTCTACAAATTCCAGGAGACATCATAGCTCTACCTAATACATAGAAACAAACATCTGGAAACAGCCAAAGTGTGGAGGCAAAGAAACATGTCACAAAGAAAAGAACAAAAGAAATTTCCAGAAAAGGAACTAAATGAAATAGAACCAAGCAAGCTAACAGATACAGAGCTCAGAATTTTGGTTATAAGGATTCTCAAGAATATTAGTAAGACTATTACGAAAACAAGTGAGACCACTGATGACCTAATAAAATACCTATCAGAAATGAAGGCTACATGGCCTGAAATGAAGAATAATTTTACAGGGAATCAACAGTAGAGTAGAGGTTGTTGAGAATCAAACAAGTAATTTGGAAGATGAGGGGGAAAAAAACACCCAACCAGAAGAGCAAAAAGAAAAAAGAATCCAGAACTATGAAGATAGTAAGGAGTCTCTGGGACAACTTCAAATAGCTCAACATTCATATTATTGGAGTGCCAGAAGGAGAAGAAGGAGCGCAAGAAATTGAAAACCTATTTGAAAAAATTACAGAAAACTTCCCCTACCTGGTGAAAGAAAGTCATACAAGTCCAGGAAGCACAGTGAGTCCCAAACAAGAGGAACCTCAAAGAGGCCCGCAGCAAGACACATTATAATTAAATCCAAAGGTTAAAGACAAAGAGAGAATCTTAAAAACAGCAAGAGAAAAGCATTTACCTACGAGGGAGCCCCCATACAACTGTTAGCTGATTTCTCAACAGAGACCTTGCAGGCCAGAAGGGAGTGGCAAGAAATATTCAGAGTGATGAAAAGCAAATACCTACAACCAAGATTGCTCTACTCAGCAAAGCTTTCATTTAGAACTGAAGGTCAGATAAAGAGCTTCTCAGACAAGGAAAAGCTAAAGGAGTTCATCATCACCAGACCAGTACTACGTGGAATGTTGAAGGGTCTTCTTTAAGAAGCAAATGAACAAAAGAATCTGACTAACTAAATAGATCCAGAGAACATTGACGCATTTAACAGATGATCATATTTCAGAGGGAAGAAGGAAGTGGGGTGGAGGGTGGGAAGAGATTAACTAAAGAAGTTATATGTATATATGCATAACCCATAAACACAGACAATAACAGGGTAAAGGCCTGGGGAGAGGGGTGGGAGCGAGCTGGAGGGGGTCAATTGTGGGGAAAAAATGAGACACCTGTAATACTTTCTACAATAAAGATAAAATAAAAACACAAAAAACCCCCAAAAAACTATAGTGAGATACCACCTCATACCAATCGTCACAGCTACTATAAAAACAAAACAGAAAATAACATGTGTTGGCAAGAATGTTGAGAAACTGGAATACTTGTGCACTGTTGGTCAATGTAAAATGGTATAGTTACTACAAAAAACTCTACAGCAGTTCCTCAAAAATTAAAAAAAAAAAAAATTGCCATGTAATCCAGTAATTCCATGTTTGTGTATATACCCATAATAACTGAAAAGGAGGGTTTCGAAACATCTGTACAAACAAACCCACAGCCATTTTTATTCATAACAGCTAAAATGTGAAAATAATTCAATGTTCATCACTGAAAGAATGGATAAGCAAAATGTGGCATATTCATACAAAGGGAGGAAACTGTAACACATATTACAACATGGGTGAACCTATGTCATTATGCTAAGCGAAATAAGCTAGACACAAGACATCCACTGTATGATTCCACCGACATGGTCAAATCATAGAAATAAAAATTAGGAGGGCGGCTCCTGAGATCTGAGGAGAGTGGAAATGAGGTGTGTTTATTGTTTAATGGGTATAAGTATCAGTTTTACAAGATGAAAAAAGCATGGCGATAAAATGTTGGTGACGGCTGCGCAACATTAGAAATGTATTAAATACCACTGAACTGAAGACTTAAACATCATTATGATGAATGTTATGTCATATGTATTTTACCCCAATAAAAAATTGAAAATAAGTTATAAATAAAAAGAACAGAGTAGGAAGTAATACCCTTTACACATTTTGAAACAAAAAAATATATATATACATAAAAAATTTTAATAAATTCCAAGTTACCAAAAAACAAAAAACTACCTTCTAATTTCTAATTACAAACTTAGAAGTAGATAAATGCTCATTTAAAAAAAACTAAAATAGTTATGTGTTTGAGATGAAATAGGCATACTTACCACTACTTCTCCCACAGAGTACAACTAAAAACCCTAGACAGTAAACATAAAACAAACATAAGAAGACTCTGAATACTGGAGAGTTAAGTAAAACTACTAGAATCTTCAAAACCCAAGGAACAACAAGGTTTTGTCCCTGTATTTTCTCTTGTTTCCTATATGGTATACTTGAAGCTGCAAAAGCCAGCAATCTGAAAACACTGATGAGTGGCAGTCAAGGAAAGCCTCCCAGAAGACATCTAAATAGACCAGGAAAAAGACAAGCTAGCATGACATAAAATGTTTAGAAAATGACCACCCTATTCCAAACCAATAATTCAGAAAAAAATTATGGTCCACCCTTACCCACACAACAAAAAGGTGAGTGGGTAGCCTAGACTGCATAAGGCTGTAACAAAGCTTACCATCACCTTTTGGGGTAACATAAAAGACGGCAAAGAAGGGAGCTGTGATGCATGCTGCCAGTCAAAAGTAATGAGGAACCCCAGGTTAGGTGAAGCTAGAAGATGGCCACCAGAGAGTCAGGACTTTTATCGGCCAGCAGTAATATATCCCCTGTATAGTTAGAACTGAACACATAGAGTCAAAACTTCCTTCTCACCCAGCAGTAATAAGGTATGCCCCACCTTGGAAGACAAGAAAATCTAAGGGGAAACCTAGAGTTCTTTCTTTCCCTGGCAATCATGAAGAAATATTCCCTTGAGTACCAGCCAAAACAGGCAATTTATTCCTGGCACAAACACCGGCACAGGCCATGGCTGCTGCTTTCCTCTTGTCCATGTTGGCCACCTGCCTGCTCCAGCCCACATAGAACTTTTGCTACTACCACTATCCTTTCCACCTTTCAAGAGCTTGAAATGAATCTGTTATTTCTGTAAAAAAAGACATAACACATGTGTTCAGCAGATCAAGTAGGAATTGTGGCAGGAAGTGGACGAGCGGGGGCATCAGAAAACAAACAGCTACATCTGAATGTGGCTCTGTTTGGTAAGAATCCTGTAAGTCATTCCTGTGTGTCCAACAAAACCAGGGCTGCTGCAGATGTGGGAATCAATAATGAGTA